AGCTGTCAAAGTAGACAAGAAACTCAAGGATTCATCGAACAGTCTCCAACTTCTCTCTTGCTTTAACCTCGGCATAGCTGTTGTTTGTGATAATTATTATCTTGTGCCACACGAGGTTTTTGGGTGGAACAATTTATTCAGTCAAACGGCCTGACGTTTCGACGCAATTGTCGTCTTCAGAAGCCTAAACGTAATTCGAGGTGATTCACTCGGCATCCAATAAGCGTCTTGACCCCTATTGCAAACCGAAGATTTACTCGAAACCCGTATTTTGCAAGCGACTCACGAAGGTTCCACCGCTCACGCGGAGAAAATCCGCTGTCGCCACAGGCGACTGTCAGTAGCGAATGAGACTTATTTCTGTCTCCTTACACTTGTTATAAGGAAGATCTCGTTATACTGCTACTGGGTCACAACTCGCAGTGCGGTATATATGGCAAAAGATCAGTAGTTATGGGCAGACACTCATCTCTACCGTTCATCTTTGGATTTCTTTGGAAAATCCAGAACGCTTCTAATGATTTTCTTAACGAAATTTTCGTCTACTGCACTAATATCGTGCACTTAACTTCAAAATTGTTGTTATTGAACTCCTCAGTTTTATGTCTACCAAGCGGCGTCATTAAGCTGTCATGCCTCACACCTGCTAGATGTTCCTTAGCTCGTACTGCCATTTGTCTTCCAGTTTCTCCGATGTATGTTGATCCACATGCCCGGCACTCTATCTGGTAAATTACGCCTATCAGTACGCAATCACCTGCTTTCTCGTACGAACATATGGTACCATCATTTTTTGTGCACACTTATCGTAGAGTCGGTTTTGAACTAACAACTGCTTAATGTTGCTATTAGGGATGTTTACTAATTGGACAACATCTTGCAGTCCAGCTCTGAAAATGCACTTCTGTATTTCGGTGCTGTCTTTATCAGAGATGAAAGGAAGACACAATGGTAATTTTCTATGGCGCGTAACATTTTTCGTTCTGATATGACATTTTCCACGAACTTGTGACACTGTATAACCGTTCACAGCAGCATCTCATAAGCTAAACGTCGCGATTCATGACATTCAACTTCGCCCGTGCAGACACTCGTTGCAGTTCTCAACATCTTGTAAACGACTGCACGTTCGACGTCTTCTGGATGAGCTAGCAGGTATGAGGCGTGGCGTAATGACGCCGCATGGTAAACATAAAACTGAGGAGCACAGCAACAACAATTTCGAAATTCAGTGCACGATATCAGCGCAGGAGACGGAAATATCGGCAAGAAAAGCATTAGAGGCGTTTTGGATTTTCCAAAGAAATCCAAAGATGAACGGCAGAGATGAGTGTCCGTCCATAACCGATGATCTTTTGCCATATATATCGCTCTGCGAGTTGTGACCCAGTAGCAGTACAACGAAATCTTTCTTATCACAAGTATAAGGGAGACAGCAATAAGTCTCATTCGCTACTGACAGTCGCCTGTGGCGACAGCGGATTTTCTCCGCGTGAGCGGTGAAACCTTGGTGAGTTGCTTGCAAAATAAATACTGGTTTCGAGTAAATCTACAGTTTGCAATAGGGGTCAAGACGCTTATTGGATGGCGTGTGAATCACCTCGAATTACGTTTAGGCTTGTGAAGACGACGATTGCGTCGAAACGTTAGGCCGTTTGACTGAGAAATTGTTCCACCTAAACCTCGTGTGGCACAAGATAATAATTATCAAAGTTTTATATTTTTCTAGTAGACATTCTGGCTTATTGAGGCCACGAAAATGATTATGATGAACATGTCTATTGAACATTTTCTCTTTAGTAAGTTTACTGAACACGAACCATTAACCTTTACATCTGGGAAGTGATGTCCCCCAGAACAATATCTACCCTTCATAGGCATCCGTCATTTACCTTCATTTACCATTACTATAAAGTTCAGGTGTTGTTTCGCTCAATTCAAAAAAAAGCAGCATATGCTCACTTTTTGTCATGTGATATAGACGAACTGTATGTTTCATTTTTAACTTAAATCAGAATACTTCAGAATACATAAAACTTCTACAATACCTCTACTAATGCATCGTAAATAAATTACAAATATTGCTCTAATGTCATCACGAAGAACAAATCAAGTAAACCAAGTCATAGTCCGAGAATTCTCACAAATAAGAATTCGCCACACATATACTGTATTAATTACTGAATAGCGCTTAAGTGGAATGGGGATTGGTCAACTTGAGGGACGCTGGAGAAGAAGAAAGCCAAGGAAGGAAGCAAACGGAAGCTTCCGTGAAGGGAATAAGTGAAATCGCGATTAAAATATGTTTTCAAATTGAATGCGCGATTGAGTTTAATCAATTTGAGGACCGACTACCAGCATATTATCAGGAGATCAGCTACATGATCACGATTTTTAAATACATGTTGAAGCTACATCGAAGTGCTATAGCAAATATTAGGAGCACAGCTATATTAGAGCGCTGGTGGTAAGCGACCATGATTATGAGAACTGGAAGCTAGCTATTAAAAATCCTAGTTGTAGCTTATCCACCAGCCACAGTGTCGTAACTTGAACGGAACAGCTTTTTGTGTAACTCAAACTTCCACACGGCTCCTGATACCACAATGCACAGTATGATCAGAACGAAGACGGCGATCTGTAAAATCACATTATTAATTGTCCCGTCTTAGTACTGTCTGCTGTTTTTTCTGCTATATTTGTTATCTGTAGCTTGGAGGGAATGCTTTCGACTATGCAAACAAATATAGGCATCTAAACTCAATGTCGCAAATAGTATGCAACTGCGGTCGATGCGTTTTTTTATCTGAATTCGGGATGCGCTTCGAGGTATGGGTATTTACGTGCGTCCGAGGATGCGCGCGGCAAATTGCGCGGCGAAGTGCGTGGTGATTCGAACGACTCTGGCACCTAGCATTGGGGCCCAAACTCGAAGTAGAGTAATTTAGTAGGGTCAGCTGATACTACTGATCTACTCTACTTCAAATTTGGGCCCCAATGATAGGCGCCAGAGTCGTTCGAATCCCCACGCACTTCGCCGCGCAGTTTGCCGCGCGCATCCTCGGACACACGTAAGTTCCGCCCCCCTGCGCTTCGTTGCGCGTGTCCGTCGAAACTAGGTCACGCTGCAGCCGTCGCACGCGGCGAGTCGGCCCGCGATATTTGACAGACGCCGCAATTTTCACTGGGGCATACGCTTTGCGTTTGGTCCACGGCAATCAGTTCAAGAAGAAGATCACACAGACAAATGCAAATCATTTGCTCCAACGACACTTGGTGGTACTGTAATGTCATCTTGAAACCTCGGTAGGGTTCGCCGCGCGCGAAGTGGGCGGGCTGACCTACTTTCGACGGACACGCGCAACGGACGTTCTCCCTGAATTCGCTGTGTAAGTGTAAACACTACACTGCATAAATGAATAAATAGCCAACAATTCTGAGTTATGCCTCCAAGGATACCTATATTCCCGTTATATCTGTAGAATGAATGATTAGTGATCTGCAACTAATTCTCACCATTGTTGTATTCGAATCATCCGGAATCGGAGGCTGCGTTGGCCGTTCAAATATGAAGTTTTTAGAAATCGTTGTTGTATCCTCGTCAGAGTCATCGTCGTCCTTTTCCGTGTCATCGTCGCCTTCTTTCTCCTTTCCTTCCGTCTCCTCTTCTTCCTTCTCTCCATCTTTTGCAGGCTTTTGAGATTCTAGAAAACCGAGTACTAATTCTAGGATTATGCTGGACAAATGTGAATCCTCTTAATTATATAATATCTATAATACGTTTTGAGACCTTCTCTTGACCTCGCTTTGCTCCAGTTGTATAAAAACTAATTCAAAGGGTTATATAGGTGTTTATAATTCACAGGNCAAACAACACTAGGGTCAACTCGTAGATGTCATTCGGATTGGAATATGTAGTGAGTGCATTCGGGGAGATTGTTGATGTCGCTTTCCAAAGTTTCCAAATCGTCGGAAATTTCAACAACGAAACACTTGCCCAGAGCTTAGAAGTGGAATCTTCAGCGAGTGAAGGGTCCGATGGGTGCAGAAGAACTTCAAGCCCCTCTCATTCTAATTTCTAGGCGTTGGGAACTACGAAACTGTAATCAAAGACACAGTTCACGGTAATTCTATGGTACCCTTTTTGAATCGAAAAGCGGAAGTATTGTCTGCAAATAGTCTACCGGCGGTGAAGGAGGCGAGAAAATTCTCCGATTCTGCGAAAAATAAGGCTCCATAAAAGGTGGGGAAAATAGAGTGTGCACAAGATTACCATGACGGAAATGACATGGAAGAGATATTTGGACGAGATTTCAGGAGATGAATTACTGACTCATCAAGCCAAAACTGTCAAAACACTTCCCTCCACTGTCGCTATGGTTCACGGCAATTGCCTTGCAGACTCTACANCTTTATAGCGTCTATCTAGGCCGTTTTCCGACCTGATAGCGCCACATATGGTGTAGAATGGGCCACGAATTTTTCCTAGCGGGATATCTCACAAACCATTTTTATCGTGAACTGTGCCTCTAAACAAACAGTCTTTTTTGAAGACAGTGATCGAACAATCTTCTTCACTAGATAAAATGGTAATATAAGGAGCGAATAAACCAGAGTCTTCATGAATGATAGGCTTACCGCTTGTCAAATTACACGAGCTACGTCTTTTCTTCTTGAAAAAAAACTACTCCTTTTAAAACCCTAACACTGCTCTCACCTTCTTTTTCCTTTGTCTCTTCCTTTTCTTCCTTTGTTTTGACATCACTTCCTTTGTTATTTTCATTCTCATCGTCATCAACGTCCTCATCATCTCCTTCTTCTTCCTCTTCATACTCTATTTCCATTTTTGGGGGAGGCTTCCTGGAACGAATGTTAAGCATATTCATTAGAACTGTTTGTTATGTGCTAGAGTTTATGCTATTTTCTACCTTCCTTTTCCTTTGCTCGGCCTGCGTTTCGGCTCTCGGACTTCTTGGTTGGCTCGAGCTCGACCAATGGCGGACTTATCTTTCGTCTGTCATTTTCAAAGACTTAACTTACGTAAACTGTCATTTTATACTCAGATGAAACTTTGCAATACCTCGAAACATGCCAGTATATCTAACTGTTCGTTGTCAAATTTCGCACACCCGGTAGGATTCAATTCCTCAGCCAGCATGTCGTCGCCAGTAAACGATGCGCAACCCATCGTATTATACTCCGTCATATGCCCTAATTTGGACTTAATTCGTGCCTGAAATGGAATCTTGCACAAGTTTCCAATGTGTAATACATTCAAGAGCTTGGAAACGCCAGCGTTCACCTTCGCTGAGCGGCAGCTTTGCTTCGTTTATAATTTAGACCCAGGAAATGATTTCGGTGGTTAGTCAAAAATCAGCCGAATGTTTGTCATTCCATGCTTATCTCGGGCCTAATCATTTTACAGAAACTCGATTAGACCGGGTAGAACCTGGTTTTCCAGAGGTTTGAGAGCGTTTTTTACCCATTATCTCCATACATATATACATCAGAAGAAGAACAACAAGAATACCCTCTAGTTGAATAGATAGTAAAATTGCAATTTTGTACAGGCCTATGAACTCGGTGAAAACAAATAGAGAACCAGCTAAAGTAGAAACTCCCAAAAATCACGGAGTGATCCTGCGAAAGTTAAATTCTGAAAGGAGGAACGTACCTTGAAACAAAATTCTCCGGTGCAGGTGACATTCTTAGAGCTCATCTGAAAATTTGATTCTGAGAGAGGAATATTCGGCTTGAAGGGCTGGTAAAATTTTCCTTTCTATTTCTACAGTCATTCTGCTTTTCAGTGAGCTAGACACTATCACTTAACAACAATTTGAAAAAAACTAGCCGATGTTCCCATCACTTTTGCTGTGACAAACGTCTGACACTTTTGTCGTTCAGGAACTGTGATTTGGGGCTTCTCCGCATTACAATAATCTGTGGCGCACACACAGGACTCGGTCTTGAGTAGATCGGACGCCTCCTGAAAGTTTGGTTACTGTACTGACGTGCTTTTGAATTTCATGCAACTTCGAAGTACGGGTATGTTTTTTTCGGTACTAGCGAGTTTACAGAATCGGGCCAAATCAAGCTGTCAGATACATTCCGATGGTTTTGACACTTCTCGCCCTCCCTTCCGCCTTTCTCCCACTTCGGCTCCTCCCCCATTGTCTTGTGTCAGTTCCCATGATCCGATTGAACTGGTAGCTACAATATCGAACAAGTAAATACTCACCTTCGCTACTGTATGATGCATGGCACCTGTGATCGGAGGAATCATACACGAGCCCATTGATCGCCGTTCAACTATTGGCACCGAAGCGTTGACACAGCCCTGGAAAAAGCACTCTGAACTTGACGTCGAGAAATCCAACGAGTCTAATACTCGTACCCTTTCCGTTTCTTTCGTCCGATGGTTGATAACATAACTGCAGAGTTCTCCGAGACATGTCTCTCCTTTACAATGGGCACCAGAGCAGACGCAGGTCAACTGTAACTTCTTCTATGATGAAGAGCATGAGAAACAATGGAAGTCTCACTTTGAATCACAAACATGCAGGGTTTAAGACGTGAAAGAGCGGAGTGGAGTGGTACGCCCTTGAAATGGGACCTGGTGAGGCCCCAACAGATTTTCGACTCGTAAAATGAGTATGAAAGAGCGGTCATAATATTCCACACTGCACTTGAAAGAAGGATTCTTTACGCATCGAGAAACAAGAGTTACGAGAAGGTACTAACGTTCGTCGTTTCCGTAACAATTACTCCCAAAATTTTCGAGTCTCGTGTATTTGCTATATCTTTGCCTACGCATTCTTGATCGGAATTCCACGATGTAATCCAAAAGATCCCGTCTGAGGGATGTGCCCCTCACTCGACTTCCATTCAGAATCGTAGTGACCTGTTGAATACGTATGTGGCCTATACAATGACTTGCGCCGGCTACCCGATGTACAAGTCAGTGCTTTTATCCTCCCAGACGAGTCTGGTACCAATTAACCACCCGAAGGGATGGAAGGCGTGGTTGGCCTGGGCGGATATCGATCCGGAATTCGAACCTCTGACCATGCGTGTGAGATAGCGCGTTACTTCCCACTACTCCACCTCCACCCATGTTTTAAGATTAGCAGTCACATTTAATTCTCCTTCAAGCGCTCCCTTGAAAGTATAAGTTACCGCCACTCTTGGAAAAACAATTGCATAATTCGTCAGTTACATATGGGTCAGCTTTCGAATGAAACTACCGTATTCATAAACTAGTGAGACAAAATTCCCATGATTACACAATGGAAAGTGAAGGGGTTACATCGCTATTCTATGATGACAGAAATGTTTTTAATGGTCACACCTGAACTCACTCTGAACCGAATTTGAGCACTGATTTGAACAGGGACCCCTGAACCCCATAACGTGAGCATCTATAGGGATAAATGAAAAATTTCACCAGTAACAATGGAACATTGTCTCGAAATTTGATGGCTCTCCGCGAAGGCTGGATAAGTAAAAGTGGTGTTTACACCAAAGACTGTCAGAAATTGTGTATAATAGACCTTCTATCGACTGTCTATAGGTCGTTCTCCCTGCCATTTCGCAAACAAAACAATCTCAATGAACTGTTTTTCATAATAATGAATGAGAATTGAACTGGAATATGTCTTCTAGCATCAGATCTGCCACCTACGGTCAACTGGTCACTGATCGCTTTTATCGAAATTTTCAGCTTACCAATTCAACGGTTTCCACTTCCAGTCTTTGCAGTGTCCTGCCACCGTTGCAGTTATCCCGACTGTTGCAGAAACATGTGAACTTTTCCTGAAAAAACCGATACCGTCCGTCATTAAAGTGCAGAACCGTGCAGTTTGGAAAAGGAACGTATTTGGAGTATGAAGATTGAAATCAGCGGTTGGAGCATGGAATAAAAACATAAATTAAGCCATTCCATATGTAAATTAAGCCATTCCATATAAATTAGCTAGAGAATATGGATGAGAAAAAGAACAAGAAAGGAGAAGAAAAAGGAGGGGGAGAGATGGGGTATATAGGAGCAGCATAGTAGTACGCAGTTTTGCATTTCGAAACCAAAAGAAATATGATAGCTTCTCAACCCTGAGTGTAAAACACGTGCAATCGGAGTGAGCAGTAACTAGGGATTTTAAGAACAGTCCATAGAAAATATTTTATTGCGTATAAACTTATCAGATATTCCCCTCCAGAGGGAAAAATATGTTTACATAAGATACTCACCTTGCCCTCGTCGTCGGCTGCTTCACAGTGATCCCGAATGTCCTTTCGTAACAGCGAACCCGACATGCAACCCTGAAATACAGAGAAATTTTTCCGGTCGTGCTTGTACACGGCTCAACCGTCAAGCAGATTGAAAGGTTAAGTTTTGGCTGCCGTTTTTGATAGACAATCACTTGTAAGTTAATTTCTAATAAATTTCTATGGACTTAATCAGGCTAAGGGCTGAGGACGTGGTCACGACCACTTTGATGCGACAGTTAAAATGGTGGTTCAGTACATCTATTGGGAAGAGAGAGATAGACCGAGAAGCATGTGGGTCGTCCCCTATGCTGAGCGAAAATGCAAGCAACAAAACAATAACAGCATGAGCCTAACCCCCCATCCCCCGTAGGCCAGTCGAGGGGGAGAAGTGCGATATATGGGGATCGTCGTTGATGACAGAAGTCTTACTTGTTGTGAAGTTATAGATAGACCTCCACAATGCAAGTAAACTAAACTACTAATTGTGAGGCACACTGTCATCAGGTCACAAGTGACCACTTCACCATCTTATCCATTTTCTCATCCAGAGGCTGACTTCGTGACTTAGCTGACCATCGTGGCCGGTAGATCAACTATAGGCTCGTGAGGGAGAGAAGAGGGTTCTTCGGAGTGCAATATGGCTATCTAATTCTAAAGTCTGTGTATTAAAGCAACATGCTGAACGGCGCAGGAACGATGTTCAGCGAGATACACTGTGGCCGCCACTCGGCGGTACTTCTCCCCGAATTCCCAGGCATCTCTACTAGAGATTCACATATTTCCCTTCATAGCTTTCACGATCGAGTGCGGTGAGCGCGACACAATTTCTGGGAAGAAGCACATACACTTGTATCGGTCTCCACTAACCTAAGCCCGCCGTTTCTTTGTCACCATTCTTTACTGGGGCCAGCGGCCCCGTGACCATAGTGATCCCATCACGAAATTGTACAGTAACTAATAGATGTTATATTCCCGGACAGAGGCACTATGGGAACCAAGAGAGCGATCCCCGTCATGACTGTGAGTGCAGGCCGCTCAGGCATAACTTTTCAGCTTCCGATCAACTTTACTAACTTTGTTTGGCTGTTTTTGTCTACAGCATGATGAATAACACTGAATGCACGCTCTGCTTGCTCCTGTGGATATCTAGTTGCGAGGCTTACGTCAAAGCAGGAAGTACCGTAGAGTCGAAAACGTGAAAGCGGAGCCGGATGTTCTTCGCCTTTTACACTAATCCCTAACTATTCTTGATTGCTCTCGAAGCCGTGGGTTGAGTTCTGCTTAGCTCCGAATTTACCATATCGACTTCTTGACCTAGCTCTCCGCCTTCACTCCCAAGTCTTCCCATTTAAAAAGACACATGGTATTCGCGAGAGCGGCACTAAAAGTTGGGCGTCCCCCTCTCTCGATGACAATGACTTCCTTGTAGAATGGCGAGCACGCCCGCAACTGATTTTTTTTTATTGTCCCGAATACTGCTAATGCAGCAACGGTCTCATGAGCAACAAAGGCAGGTCTTTACGATAAGTATAGTAAATATCTCTCTACATATTCTGGAGACAAAATTGATATCTTCTATAGAACACCTTCTATCATTTCCATTTGGCGAAAAAGGGGATTGCGTGATATCCGGAATTTGATTTCGTGACTTCATTGTGAAGAAGGGAATACTGGAGAAATTGTTTGCATTCCGATAAAAGAGCATTCAGCCAGAAGGAAAAATGTCTTTTCCTCGAGAGGGCATGAATGAGAGGAGACAAACATACGCACACAGCTAATCATGTTTCGAGATTACTGCCACAGTATTTCCTAGTGGATTCTATTCAGGAGCCTCCCGAGAATACTTCGATAGGCTAATAAACAAAGAATACACTGCAAGACGGCTCACATATAGAAGCAGCTATGTATGTAGTTAAGTAGCCGATCCTATTGCATCATGAACAGAGAGTTCGATAGGTGGGATCGTTGGAAAGATTAGGTGTTTGGAAACGGTTGCCCTGATGGAGTACCGATACAGGCACGGAAGGTGAAGCAGCAGGACAATCGTTTTCACCTCCTATCAAAAGGAGAAGTGAAGGATTGTTCCAAGTACCGAGGGATCAGGCTGATTGCATACATAATTGTCTGTCGACTCAAAAAAGGGAGGATGTCTTTTCTCGTGAGAACAGCTGGACTTTATGTCTGAAAAGTGTGCGATGTCATTTTTATCTATCCTCTACAGTGATGTTATAGCTCTGATACGGAAACCAAGAAAGAACTCTACAAGCTGCAGAAATGTTAGAGAAAGCTGGTAGAGAGCGGACTTTGATTGAGCGGAAACACCTGAGTGTCTCATCTCATGGCAGTGCGCATAGCCAAACGTAGACGTTACGGAGAATCCGTTATGTGAGTGCAACTCGTTCGGCAAACGTGAAGGGGAGGGAGTCGAGAAGATGTTCAGATGGGCCTAGGCTTGGACGTGACTGAACTGGATCACAGAGGAATACGTTGCGGGGGTCACACTGAAACCTTAGGTTCAGCCGAAGATGAGAGAACAATGACTGAGATATAAAGGCATGCGCTGCGAAGATAAAGATCACTCAAAAAGTGTGGCATGGAAGCTCAAGGAAAGCGACCATGAGGAGTCCCAAAGATATCATGAAGAAGCGTGATTAAAAAGAACTCCTCCAGTGCTGTGTGGCTTCTGATCCACGAAATAGACACCCGCGGGGGGTTTTAATGGTAAAAACCATTAGGGCTCACAATTTGAACAGAAGCTTACCTTATATGAACTTCAACAGTTATCGATAATTCATAATTGCTACCACTTCGAATCTTAGTCGTTTAAAATTGAATTGGGAGATTGAATTGGGAGAATAGATTACATGGGGCATACGATAACAGTCAATAGGGGCTAATAAAGTATCATGGAAGGTGAGAGCCACTAAGTCCATCATGCCGTTCCTGTTAGAGAGGAACGGCATGATGGACTCAGTGGCTCTCACCTTCCATGATACTTTATTAGCCCCTATTGATTGCCTTAATTATGTGATGTGGGCATGACCAGATTGCAGATAATCGGTGGCAGGAAGTAGTTTTGACTAGTAAGTGTAGATAGATGATCTCAGAAGGTAAGATAGATTGGATCCCCTACACATTACTTGATGACGGTGAGTTCTTTCGCTTTTGTGGGCGCCGAGGTAAATCAAGAGCCCACCTTCGACTTCGGCGCAAATGTGGTGTGACAGGAACGCGAATGTGTGACATTAATATAGATGGTAATAAAATGCGATAGCAACTGATAGGGGCTGATGCTGGAGCCTGAGGAGAATCCTCCAGATCAAGAACAGAGCCTCAACCGTAACAGTCAATGACAGCCAACAGAAATTGGTTTATTCTGTGTGTGGTGTCGGGATCTTAACTTGTGTGTGGCAGAAGTACCGGGAGTTGATGAAGGTCGACAATTCGTGGTTGGAAGCAAGAGCAAATGGATCCATTACCTTTTCGTGACGTTTTCGTGTAAGGGATTCGCTGTTGAAGGGCCTTCACAGAAGAAACGAAAAAGTGCAGTTTTAGGCCTTCTGAATCCACATTAAAATGATAAAACAATAAAATTTTTGGCATTGTTTAATCCCGTCCGAGGGATGCGCCCCCGCACTCGACTTCCATTCAGAATCGTAGTGGTGTAATGAGAGCGTATGTGGCTTATACAATGACTTGCGGTTACCAGCCAATGTACAAGTCAGTTATTTTATTCTCCCAGACGAGTCTGGTACCATTTAAGTGACCCCGGAAGGACGGAAGGTTTGGTTGGCTTAAGCGGTATCCATCCGCGATTCGAACCCCTGACCGAGCATGTGAGATAGTGTGCAACTTGCCACTACACCACCTCCGTCCTATTCACATTAAGCCCTTGAAATTTCAATATACTCTCTGCATTGTGGGTGGTAACAGGTGTAGAGTGGCAAAAAGTGACGACAACACTGTGTCTTACGATCGAATGACAAAATTTGAAGTAGGAAACGAACATTCGATTGATATACAGCGAAAACGCAGCTGTCAAAAAAGTTCGGTTTAGCTTTGCGTTTTTCGTCGCAGCTTCATCAAGACCACATAACTGCTTCTACACTCTTGCCATCGATATCCAAAACGCTATCGGGGCGATGCAGTAGTCATCGACTTCACCACTGCTACCTTGTGAGCTGAGCACCGGCACTGACATGCTAGATCAATTCGCGTGTGCCTCTTCGATATCTTGTATGTGGTACGAGACGAGGAGGGAGCGCTAAGCCATCGAGCTCATCGAAGCACGAAAGAATGCGCTAATCTCTCGTCACAGCAATGCCATGGGGACAATCGAAAAATTCATCGAATTCCCAAACATGGACCCCTATTTGCATTCAAATGCTGGTAGAAGGAAGTGAAAATGTCGACTATCCTAGAGAAGGAATAACTGAACAATGAATGAAGAAGGCATCGACACAGTAAAGCAACCTATTACTGTAACTGCAACTTACTTTACTTCTGACATTTGAAGTTTTCCACTCATCAGTTGACAACTATCAAGGAAAAGGCGGATAATGCTAACGACTTCCATTGTGCGAGGTACCAATTGGCTTTTAAAAAAATAGTGCGAAAGTCAGAATCTGCCTCTTCACATATATAGATCAGACCGTGACCACTAGAGGAAGAGAACTCGTTAATGTGGAATGAACCAGACGTTGACTCCGCTCCGTTGACTAAGACTATGGACCTTCGATGGTGTGAAAGTTGCTGTGCACGTTCACATTCCATACAGACTATTTCAGTGATTAGTTATCTATATCTATTAGGTGTGTGCATTACCCTAAAATCCCATAGATAAGAGCGGTTTAATTTACCGGTGAAAAATGAATTGGAATGAAATTGAAATTGAATGCAGTCACCCCTCCAACTTGATGGATGGATAAATAAAAATCGGAGAAGAAGTTTAGAAGAAGCTCCGCCCCTCAACTCTAAACTCCGCCCACTTAATAAACAATTCATATAGAAAAATAGCGATTTTAACGGATTTTAACGGATAGCTAGTTTTCTATACGAATTGTTTATTAAAAGGGCGGGGTTTAGAGTTGAGGGGCGGAGCTTCTTCTAAACTTCTTCTCCGATTTTTA